GATAGGAGGCCTAGAGCAGAGCTGGGAGCGGAGCAAACGCAGCGTCCTCCCTCCCCAAGGCAACCCCAGCAGCAAAACCCCCCGATACCCTTTTGTCCGAGCAAACCCAGGTGAGACGGAAGGAAAGGACGGGACGGGGTGACCCGCAGGAGGTGGGGAATCAAGTCCAGGCTCTCATCTCCCAAAGCGGAAGGTGAAGCCCCCTTTTTTCCTGTTGTAGCCATTGAGCTCCTCTGCCAGGTTGCCCAGGGTGCCGCTGCGCTTCTCCCCTCCGAGGGGCAGCAGCTCGGGGCCCCCCCGCCTGCCCGGCCGCTGCCCGGCCCCGGCCGTGCCGTATCCCCGCAGCTCCCGGGCGATGCTCAGCAGCGCATCCAGCTCCTCGCTTCTCCTCCGCTTTGCCCCTGCCCTCCAGCCGGGACCCCGGCCCTCCGCCGCCGTTTGCCAGCCGGGACCGAGCAGAGCCCCTTCCCCCGGGTGTCCCGGCTCCCAGCGCTCGCCGGGAGGGAAGCAGGCACCCAGGCTCAGGAGGAAGAGGCAGGACAGCGAGTAGGGTGCTCTCATCTGGGGGAAGCACAGGAAAGGGGAAGGAATGTCAGTGAAGCTCCGAGCATCCTCGGGCAGCGGCTGAGGCAGTTCCCCATCCCAAAGCAGCCCAGCTGCCCCTGCTGGAGCCCCCCAAGCACCCACTGCTCCTTCTGCAGCCTCCACACCAGCGCCCAGCTCCAGCGGGGCTGCCGGGGGTCTGAGCTCCCCCTCTGCCCCCTCGAGAGCTGCTACCCTTCATCGCCAGCAGGTCCGTGCTGACAAATTCCAGCCTGGCAGGACTCACAAATTCCAGCCTTGCAGCTGCTCCGCTGCTCCACAGCCGAGCTGTGCTGGGCTGTGCTGGGCTGGGGGTGAGAGCCGGGCAGAGCGAGGGGCTCCGGAGGTGCCCGCTCCTCTTGGAGGCACCGCGGGAGCATCCCTCACCCTGATCGTCCCCACCAGCGGGTCCTGCCGCTGTGCCTGGGTGACACAGGGGCAAAGGAAGGTGCTCGGCATCCCTCTGCTTTATGGGGCTCGGGGCTGCCCTGGCACAGGGGTCTGAGTAGGGCAGGAGGGAGTGAAATCCTGAGCCTCGTGCGACGCCACAGGCAGTGGGGTGACCTTCAGCAGCGGCAGGGCTGCTCTGCCTCCCTTCCTCCTCCCACAAAGGCTCAGAAAGACGAAACCGGTACTATTATTATTATTATTTTTATTATTATTATTATCTGGGATATTGCCTTAAAAGCTGCAGCAGGTGCTGGGGACCAGGCTGTCTGCTCCATGCTTGCCTAAGGGGGCTGTTTCTCACTCCTGCGCCAGACCCAGGTGCATTCAAACTCCTGCCTGCCCTTCCCAACACCCCTCACCCTGGAGGCTTCACTTTGGGCTTCACCCCTACCTTTCTCACCCCTTTCTCTGTTCTGCTCTCTTCCTTTTTGCACCCTGTTGCCCGTCATGGAGCCAAATTGCTGATTGCCAAATTCCTGTCCTGGGGTCTGGGGGAGCTGGTGGGACCGCAGCTGCTTCCCACCAGCCTTTGACTCTTTCCTGGCTGTGCTGCCCATCGAAGCAGGGGTGTAAAGCAGGGACAGACAGACAGACAGACACACGGCCACTGTCACTTACCTCTGCACCTCGGTGCTGCCCAGTGCTGCCACCCCTGGCACCTCTGTCCACTCTGTGTCCAGATGAGCGGCCAGCCCGCCTTGGGCCATTAAATAGCCACGAGCCCTGATTGCCATGTCACCCCTTGGACGTGTGGCCACAGAGAGAGGAGGGTGGGACCCTCGAGGAGGGAGGTGAAAGGGGGATGGAGGGACAGGGGTTGGTGGAGCTGCCACAATGGGAACACAGCAACACTGCTCATTAACGCACTGCCTTCCTTTGCTGCCTCATTTGGAGGAGCAGCTGGGAGATGGCTTCGTGTCCCTCCCTGGCAGTTGTCAGGGATGCTGCTGGGATGGAGAGTCTCATTTGGGGGCCCAAGTGTGTCCCCCTCATCTGGCTGGTGTGTCCCTGTGTGCAGCTGTTGGGGGTCCCACACAAACGTTTGTGTGCACACCGGAGAGCCCTGCACCCCCAAACCCGCCCAGGGCCTGGCCCCACATGGACCAAGTGCTCCCACCCTCCCTGGTCAACAAAGCCATCGGTGCTGGAACATGGTTCCCAAGGCTGTCCCCTCCTGGGCTGTGGCAGTGGAATGTGAAGTGGGCAGCAGGGAGGGACCCGGGGCATCACTCCGTGCTCTGTCCATCGGAGCAGGGACCAGGTCCCCTTGGCACCGACACCTGCCACCCTCCCAGCCCCAGGGCCACCCCAAGGTCCTGCAGGGAGCCTTGGGAAGCCTGCTCAGACCCCTGGGTCTCCCCAGCTCTTGTTTTGCAGAGTGGTTTCAGCGTGGTGGGCAAGTTCCCAAGGATGCCGTGCCATGAGCCTGGCACGGGGAAGGAGCCATCCCCCCAGCACAGCGAGGAACTGCAGTGATCCTGTGCCACTCCCTTTGCTGTCACACAGCAGGTCCTCTGGCCGTGTCCCCGCGCTGTGCCATGGGCTGTCACAGCTGTCACACGGTGGGTAACGATGAGATCCTTTTATTAAGGAGTTTAGAAAGTCCACATGTACAGCATTGGACACACTCACACACGACCTAGACTTCACAGCACTGCTACACACCACGGCCTGGCCCAGGGCTTCTCTGGGAAGGTTCATGGCCACATCCCAGACCCCCAGTCACCCCTGCCCACCCCTTCCCAGGGAGGTGTCACCACGGAGGGGTTTAACCTAATCCAGGGCCATGGAGCAATGCGTGAGCTCTTGGGAATAATCCTGGGAAATCCTGTGTCTTGGCATGGATTAAATACCCCTCGTGCAAGTCAAAACAAAGTCTCTGGGGCTCCTGGGTGACACAGGCAGTTACACAAGGGTGTGCTACCAACAAACCAACGTACAATGTTCCCTCCCCAGCATGGCAGAACGCCAGTGGAGGGGTCTGGGGGGGATGAGCCTTCCCACCTGGCACATGGTTGCATGTGCATTCCTGCCCAAAGCATCAGAAAACCCAGCTACAGCTAATCCACCAAAATAACTGATCGAAAAGTAAAGATGGGTGCAGGCAGGACCCTTTCCAGAAAGGTCCAGTGGAATACAGGAAGCTCCTTGGAAGCTGTCAGGGCTCCTGCAATTGTGCTGAGAAATTCCACTGCCGAGTTCCCCCAGTTCCCGCTGTTCCAGAAAGTCAGCCTGACCAGCTGCTCTGGGCACGGATGGAGTGTGTGGAGCTGAGTGCCCTTCACTCGGAGCTCATCCTCACCTGAGGGCTCTGAAGAATCTCTCTGGCAGAGTAAAAAGCTGTGGCGATCCCAATGCATCATTTGTCCATTTCTCTGTCAGGGCAGACAGACACGGACTCACCCAGTAGGTGAGAGAGCTTGTCCAGCAGCACGAGATCTGAGGTGGGAAAGGCTTAAAAAAAGGAAGAATCACAGAGGGAAGTACAAACCTGGCACAGTTGGGAAGCTGAGCCTTTGATCTCTCCATGCTTTAAGCTCCCCTGGAAATGGAGACTGCGGGAGTTTTTCTCCCCTCCTCAGTCCATCCGTCTGTCTGATGGTGTTTCCTGGGGCCAGGGCTCTGCTGTAGCACAGGCAGAAAATGATGTAAAGGGTGACAGGATTCCATCTGTCCCCTCCCCTCCTGGTCCAGAGTCTGCTCACATTTGGTTCTCGGTTTTTTTTTGGACAAAATCCCTCATTTGAGTCCTTCCAGGGAGCCAGCAGGAGACGTCAGTCCCACACCCCATGGCAGCTCCTGCTTGGGCCGGCTGGTGCTGCTGCCTGGTTATCAGGGCCCTGCAGATGCTAAGCCCCACTCGGGGCTTCTTTTTTTGCAAAACCTTAACGGGATTTGAGGAAATGAAAGGCTTTGGATATCTGCAGGTGCCGAGCCAGTGCCGCAGCTCAGCCGGGGTGGAAATGAATGCGGGTGCCCAGGCCAGCAGTGAGCAGTGAGCTCACTGGGAGAGGTGGCCGAGCTGCCCGAAGGGTTTGGGGAAAGGTCACAGCTTTTGGATGGTGAAATCCCACTGGGTCTGGTTGGGAGGGAGGGGCTGTGAAATGCAGGCAGAGCTGTGCTGGGAAGTGAGCCTTCCTCGCCTCCTCCTCTTCCTTGTTGTGCTCCTTGTTTGCCCAGCGCTGCCAAATCAACTCCGTGCCTTGCTCAGATCCGGGTGTGAGTCCTTGCAGCACTGCTCTGGCTCACTTTGGGGTGTCCTGACCTGCTGGGAGGCTCCGGGAGTCAGGGCAGGGACAACAGGGACTAAGGAGCTGGTGGTGGTCCCTCCCCGGCTGCGTTGCTCTCGCAGAGGCAGAGGAGAGCGTTCTGCAGTCCGGAGGAGGAATTGCTGGCACGGTCAGGCTGACCCAGCTGAGTCCTCCCCATCACCAGTAGCACCATGGGGGGAGCTGGAGCTGTGGAGCAGCAGCCTCATCCCAGTCCTGGCGGTTTGGGGGCCCTGGGGCTCCCCATGACAAGTTCCCCCAGTTCCTTGCCAGCTTGGCAAGCCCACGACCAGGTGTCAGTGCCCAGAGCAGAGGTGACCAGAGGTGTTCAGCCAGCCTGGGCTGCTGCATCCTTCCTTCCAGGCAGCCCCTTTCCTTCCTTGTGGGACCCTGCTGGACACCTCTGCCCAAGCACCTGCATCCTCTCTGCCCCAGCCACGAGCACAGGCTGTGGGTCACACTCTGGACACCTGTTCTGGCTGCAGGGGAGCCACGGCAGTGGGAAGCAAAGGTCTGGCAATGTCTGTGGGTGCCAATGAGCCAAAGTCACCCTCATTGGCAGCGGGTGCTCCCCAGGGGCCCCTCAGAGGCGGGCAAGCCCTCAGAGAGGATGGGGAGGATGGCAGCTGAGGGAATGGGGTGGTGGGGAAGGGCAGGGGGCTGGGCACGGTGTGGGGCGGGGGGGGCTCATGCCATCAGCTAATTCTCCTCCCGGATGGGCCGGATCTTCATCTCGGTGAACTTGAGGGAATACTGCCAGCCGGTCCAGGAGGACCACTCGATGCCGTCGGCGTAGGAGCTGTGGTGGCCCCGCAGGTACTGCCCGTTGAGGTTGGACGTGTGGCAGTTGCGGTACCACCAGGCGCCGTGGTAGAAAGCGGCGCAGTTGTTCTCCGAGTGGTCGTTGTCCAGGTCCTTGGTGGTGAACTTCATCCCGTTGTGCTTCAGGAAGGAGTCACCTGTCCCAGGGAAAAGGAGTCCTGATGGTCCCTGCCCCTTGGGGCTCCTCCAGCAGATGCCCAACCTCACCCCAGCTCCCTGGAGCTGCAGGGATGCAGCCGCTGCTGCTGCCAGAGGACACTGGAACCCTCAGCAAGGGGATTTGGGGTCTGTGTGCTCCCCCTGCCCATGGGCCCAGGTGTGTCCCCCCATCCTGCTGTCCTACCTGCTGTCCCTGAGTAGTCGGCGATGGTGATGGGGTACCCGTCCTCCTCGGGGTCGACAGAGAAGAGCCCCACCCCGAAGCTGCCGTAGTGGGCGAAGGCGGTGCCGTTGTCAAAGTCCTCCAGGTCGATGCGGAGCTCGTAGCTGCCCTGCACCGTCAGCAGGTGGATCCTCTTCAGCCCTGGCAGACGGAAAGGGGTGAGTGTGGGGATGGGGTGGTCAGGGGTCCAGCCCCTCCCTGCCTGCCCAGCCCGTCACTCCCAGGGCAGGGGTGCTGTCCAGGGGGGTCTCAGTGTCCCCTCCATCGCAAAGGAACCCCCAGATGTCCCCAAGGGAGCGCAGGCTTCGAGCCCTGCCAGCCCCACACACCTAACCAGTGCTCTCCTGTCAGCTTCCCGAAGCCATCCCGGTAGGCTTCCCAGCCACGGAAAAAGTTCACAGAGCCGTCCTCCCGCCGCTGGAACACCTGGGGAGACACCAAGAGCATCAGCTGTGGGGCTGCTCCCAGCCTGCGTGCCCCAGGCAGCCCCTCTGCTCCCCACCGCGCTGCCCACCCCTCCCTGCCACTGCCTGATTAGACACCAGCACGAATTAAACCCTGTTGGCTCAGCGATCACACAGGGATACTGGGGAGACATCCCTGGGGAAACGCTGGATCATTGCCTGCCGGCTCCTAGGGATGGGTGAGTGGGTTCAGGTAAAACCCTTCACAGGATCCTCCGTCTGGAAATGGGAGCAGAGCTCAGGAAACCATCGTGTGTCCCTGGAGCAGTGGCCATCCTGCAGCTGCCAAACAGCCCTGTCCATGTGAGCAGAGACACGGAGAGCATGACCCCAGCTCTGTCCTGCAGCACCTGCTGCCCAGGCCACTGTGACTCTCCTGCCAACAGTGGGTGCTCAGAGCTGTGTAAAAACCCAGCAGCTGATTTCTTCCTCCTGGATCTCTTTGCTCTCCTGGGCAGGCACCCCATCATAAAGCATCATCTCTGTGACAGCCTCATTAGTTTCCCAGAGAAATTAACTGTGGGGCACTGACTGCCCTGACCCCTGCAGAGCCCCCAGATCCCAGCCAGATCCCAGGGCTCAATGCAGCTTTTCTGCTCAGAGCCTTTTCCTTTTCCTCTCCCATCTGCTCATCGGCGTGTGTGCCCTGTGTGTTTCATCCCCTTTTATCCATAGTTTTGGGTTTGATTTATTGACAGCGATCCAGAAAATGCTGCTTCATGCCCGACCATTTGAACTTAATTAAGCCTCCAGCCCTGGATTAATTGCATTAAAATTGGCTGAGCAAGCCTGCCCCACTCCCACCGAGCTCCACGTTCCCGAGGCCGTGGTGGGGACAGCTGGGGCACTCAGTGATTTAGGCAGAGCCCTCCCAGGCTCTGGCAGCCCACGGGCCAGAGGACCTCATCTTCAGAGCTGGGCTGTGTTCCTGAGCTGAACTTCCAGCATCCCAGGATTGGGGAATGTGGATGAGCTCTGAAGTCAGCTGGGAAGCCACCACGCTTTTCTCCCCCTGGCTGTTTCTGCCCTCCTGCACGAGGTTTCATCCTGGCATGTGAAGCAGAACCACCTCGTGAACCTCTCCCTGGTTTGCCCTCCCCAGACGGGCATTTTTGGGGCTGCGTGTGCTGGCTGAGGCTCTGGCACACTCCTGGGCACGGCACAGCTCTGATCCTGCTGTACTTACCTTCTAGAATTAGAGCCTTAATTTTTATCCCCGCGTTGAGCACTTGAGAAGCTGTGGTTAAGCCCATTTAAAGGGGCTTTCTTCAGGCTTGTTGGGAAAGGGGGACAGCGTGGCTGGACAGGGGCCTGAAGCTGATTTTCCCCAGCCAACATCGGCGTGGGGAAGGCGGTGGAGGCAGCACCAGTGCTGCCTCTTAATCGGCTTTGGCCCACGGTTGTAAATAGGCCAATTGCCTGAGTGGTGCCCAGGGAAGCGTGTGGGACAGGGCTCCACTGCCTGAGCCTTGACACAGCTCGGGAATCAGCCCAGGAGAAGCCTTCAGTGCCCCACTGCCCACCAGGCTCAGCCCCAGGGGTTGAAACTCCCAACTCTCCTGCTCCATCCTCATCATCTCGCATGCACGGTCCCTTCTGTGCCTCTTTTGTGCAGCCACCATGTGCAGGCAGGGCTGTGGGAGCCTCCTCATCACCCCCTGAGAGTGCTGGGAGTGCTGGGTGCACCAGTGACCCGCAGGCTCATCGTGCTCCCAGCCCTGCCTCGCTGCTCTTTTCCTCCTCATCAAATATGCATCACCCCCTCTTAAGCAAAAAGGATTTCCCTCCATACTTTAAAGGCAAGGCTGAAATATTTATCTCCCTCATTCTCTGCCTCCCCCAGTCGCCCTTGTGGGACAGGGACAGGCTCCTGCAAAGCCACAAATTCAGAAAAATGGGTTAAAGGCAGAGAAAAGTGGGAGGACCATGGCACTGGCAGCTTCCCCTCCCTCAGCTCCACCAAACTCCTGATGGGCTTGAAACTCCCTGGTCTGTGGACATGCTCAGCCATCACTTCTCCACCACCACAGTGCTCAGACCCCTGGTCCAGTTTGGCAGTCATGGCACAGAGCCCACAGCCCTGTCCCCAAGGTGTCCTCTGAGCAGCTCTGAGCCAGCCTCCAGGACGTGCCCTTCCCCTGGGACAGCCTGTGAACACCACAGCGGGCACTGCCCATCCCAGGAGCCGCTCCTGCCCGGCCCTGCCACCAGAATCGTCTCCTCCCCGTTTATGGTGGCACATAAACCACATCCTCCGGGAACAGCACGTGTTTCTCCAGGCTCCTCTCACCCCCTGCCTGCGGGTCACCCCAGCTCGGTGTCAATGCACCAGTGTCTGCTCAGCCCCCATCCCTCTCCAGGACCCCTCCAGCAGGGGATGACCAGGCTGCTGAAGCTGTCCCCACCAGGGTCCCAGCACGGCAGGCGCCCCTGGAGCTGGAAACTGTCACTTAATGTTACCACAGCCCTCGTCCTGCTGGCACAGCCTTTTCTTCTGCATTCTTTGTCTTTTCCACCATTTCCCAATAAATGCTGTGCATGGAGATGATGCTGAGACACACAGAGCACTGTGTGTGATGCTGATCCCAGAGGATTTTGCCCCAGACAAGGAACAACGGAGGCTCAGGGGCACTGTGAGGAGCATGGGGCATTTGCAAAGATATTCTGAAGACAGAATCAAATGAAAAGGCAACTTTTTGAGCTCTCCTGGGATGCTGAGCCTCTCTTGACCCATTATTACTCTAAGAAAGTGCCAGAGGTGAGTGCCAAGGAGGGAGCTGGGCTGGGCAGTCACAGGGCAGTCACTACAATCACAGGCAGGGCTGGGCACAGGATTTGGATGCTCCCATCAGCACCGGTGAGCACTGGCCCAGACCCACATCCCCACCAGCAGCAAACTGGCCCTGCTGCCAGCGGGCAGCACCCAGGGGGGACAAAACAGCCGAGCCTTGCTCAGCCTTCCCGAGAACGGGACAGGGAGAGAGCAGGACCCTGCCCTGCGATCGTGCTTGGGGCCAGTCAGCTCCTGAGCTCCTCCCGTGGCCTCTGAGCTGCCCAGGCAGGCTAAAGCTGAGCTCAGCAGCTCCCAAGCTCCCGAGTCAAAATTGATTCAGCTGCTGCCATCGCTTCCACCCACCCACCCACATGCAAATAAACCCAAATGTCAGGAGTAATCCAGGAGAAGGGAAGGGAAGGGAAGGGAAGGGAAGGGAAGGGAAGGGTTGGGTTCCAGGCTCTGTACCACGGCGCCTAGCCATGCCATGGCTTACCTGGAGCCTAGATCAGCCAGTGCCCCCACAGCCCCTGGGAGATGGCTGAGACAATCCCTGCACCCAAGGGACTGGAGGCAGGTTTGGGAGCCTCTACTGCACAGCAGCCCCAAGAAACAGGAGCCTGAGGTGTGCACCCCCATCCCAGCTCTGCTGTCTCTGCACCACTGGGATCCAGCCCCTGGTTCAGCTCCTCGCCCCAGCAAGGCAGGGCAGAGCCGAGGTGTCTGTGCCACCCCACTCCCAGACCCTCCCGGTGCTGCCAGGCTTAGGATCACTCGCTGTGCCCCCTCCCCAGCCCAGCCCGAGCCCTCCCGCCTGCAGCAGCTTTAAATAAGCCTCTGAGTGTCTGGCTAATCACCTTGGGCTGCTCTTCAGGCTTGGCTGGGGCTGGTGGAGGCTGTGCAGACTGTGCACGGGGTTTGCAAGAACCCTCTGCACCCTGAGGAGCCAGAAGGGTCCCCCTCTCCCCTCTGTAAGCCCCTAAGAGCTGAGCTCCCCGGGCTGTGCCGTGCCTCAGTTTCCCCACTGGAACTGCTGGTACCACCCGGACCCCCCAGGTTCCTTCTGCCCAGGGTGGGCTCTCGGAGGTCGAAGGCTCATCAGCCCCTGAGGGCAGGGGGGCTAAGCTCCCTCCTGGCCCTGCTCAAAGCTGCTTAGGGGAATCATCAGATCGTGGGGATTTGTTTCCTAGAGCGCCCAGCTGGAGGGGTGCTGGCCAGCTCGGCTCACCCAGCGTGTCCTCAGGGCAGAGGTGCCCGCTCACCCCTCCCGGTGAGACCCCCCCGCCTCCTGGGACCCCTTCTCTGTCCTACTGGCGCCCCAAGTATGATGCCCTCCAGGGCAGGGGGAGCTGCTTACACCCAGCTGATCGCTGGGGGCTGGCAGTGCTGTGTGCCCCCATCCCCCTGCTCCCCGCCCCCATCACTGTGATCACGGGGCCATCGCAGCCGCCGTGGCCAAGAGAATCGGACAGGGAGTGAATCAGCACAGCACCCGAGGTGCCCCAGGCACTCCAGCCTTGGATGAGGCCAAATGCCCGGGTTTGGGGTCTGCCCTGAGCCCCAGCGTCACTGGGTCCATGAGGCACAGCACGGCCACAATGTGCCCCAACTGTACCCCAGGCCTGCTGAGAAGGACAAATTCCAGTGGTGGCATCCAACTCCCTGCCTGAATCCCCCCTCCAGCTCCAGCCAATCTCTCCAGAGCAGGGCAGGCACTGGGCTCCAGCTCAGGGTTCTGGCTGGCATCACTGGGAAGCTCTGGGTGCACAGCCCTTGACATTTATTGCCCCTGCTGATGACACATCCAAGTGTCAAAAGTGACATTTCCCATCTCCAGCACCCTGGCACAGGGCCAGCCCGTGGCCAAGGGTGGCATCACCCAGTGTCCCCAGCGTGGTGGCAGCTCACCGTCCAGCCGCCCCCGTCCGTTGTCATGTCACAGTAGACCTGGAAGCCATCGGGGTAGTGTGTGGGGAAGATGGAGTAAATCCCATCCTCTTGCTGTCCACTCACATAGATGTCAAAGCAGTCTCGGGGCCGGGAGCCTGCAGCGTGGCATTGGGATGGGGTGGGACAAGTGGAAAGCTGGTTAATTAATGACCTAATTTAATGTCTTGCCATCTCTTCCAGGCTCCCAACCTTGCTTCCAGCTCTGGTTGCCAGCTTGGTGCTGCTTTGCTCTTTCCCTTCTCTCCTCTGATGTTCAGGCTGAGCAATGCCAAGGGGGATGCCACCACCATGGGGACTCCCCAGCAGCTGGTAGGGAGTGACGCCGTGTCCCTGTGTGATGGCAAGGCCAAGCTGGGACACAAATGGGGACAAGGGAGAGCCAATGCATGCCCAGGGAGGCTGTGGGCACAGGCTCCCAGCTCCAGGACAGATTTGCTCAGCTGCATCTCTACCCAATGCTGAGGACTGTGACTGTTTATGCTGAGCCCCTGCAGGGCCACTCTCCACACCTGATGGAGGTGAATGCTCTGCCTGTGCCCCTGCTATGCTCTGCGGGGAGCAGATGGGTTTGCAGGGGTGTAAGGGGCTCTTGGGCTGGTTTATAGACAACTGGGAACTGCACAGTGAGAGTTCCCCCTTCCAGGACCCACCTTTCCATCTCCCTCCTCCTCCACCTCCTTCACCAGCCCCTGCACTGTACTAAATCCCTTCTCCAGGATGGTTTGCCTCATCCTGGGTGCTTTTCTCTCTCCCACGAGCAGCCCCAGGCACGTCCCTCTCCCCAGGGACTGTCAGGGATGCAGGCTCACCGTTGGAGCAGCCCCGGGGCCGTGCTCCCCTGGCCGGGGCTCGCTGCAGGTCAGCCTTGAGCCGGGGCCGGGCTCCGCCGCGCTCCTTCTGCAGCGTGTCCAGGACGTCACTGACAGAGCTCACCAGCCGGGCCATGTTGGTCTGGCTCTCCGAGAGCAGCTGCGGGCAGGGGACACACGGGAGGACACGGAATTAGGGTTAAATGGTTAAATTCCTTCCACATCCCAGCCCCTTGACCACTCTGCCTGCTCCCACTGCTCAGCAGTGCCAGGGTATGGGCTGGTGGGGACATAAATCCCATAAAACATCTCTGTCGCTTTTTGGCTGGGGTCAGGGTCCAGAGAAGCACCTATTGCCACCAGGGAGGAGAAATCCCCAAACCCGGGTGCATTGGTGCTGCCACCCCATGGGATAAAGAGCATCTCTGGGCCAAGGACAGGATGACGGAGGCGGCAGGAATAGCCGTGTCCTGAGGCAGCCGCCAGCTCTTCATCGTCCCCCGAGGTGACCCAGGCTGGGACAGTGACACGGAGTGGCCCTGGCAGAGCAGCAGGATGGGGAGCAAAGTGAAGCAGCAAGAAACAAGCAGCTCTGGGCAGAGGGAATTGAGTAACAGGAGGGTCAGTCATGGAGCATCCAGCCATGCCCTGGATCTTGCTATGACACCTGGCAGACCCCTGGCATACCCAGGTAAGCATTTCAACACAGCTCATTGGCTGGGAAATTTTGGGGACTGTAAAGAGGGGGCCTGATTGCTACATGAACTGCCCTTGAGGAGGTTCTGTGTTGTGCTTGGCTCTGACTGGAGCTCCCAAACTGGAGCTGGAGCTGGGACACCCCCAAGGTGGGAGGCTGCACACCTGGCTCACTGGGACCAGGGCAGTTTGGCAGGGAGACACTTCCCAACATCCAGTTCAACCTCAGCTCCTTCTCCTGGAGTTCTCCCCTGGATGCTGTGGGCAGGGGCTGCAAGCAGCCATGACCCCAAGGACACTGGGACAGGGATTTCTATCCCCAGGCAGCCCTGCCTGGCACTGCCAGCCCCGGCTGACCTGGATGAGCCTGCCCTGCTCTCCCTGCAGGGCGCTGAGCTCCTGCCCCATGGCGCTGTGCCCTTTCTTGAGGCTGTCACAGTCAGCACGCAGCTGCACGGCGTGGGTCAGCAGCTTGGCCACCTCATCCGCCACCGTGACCAGCAGAGCTTTCTGCTGGCTCTTGGTGGCCTTGGCCTCGGCGTCGTGGTCGGTGACGGCGCGCAGCAGGGAGGTCTGCAGCCCCTCCATGCGCCCCAGGGTGCCGGCAGCGCTGGGGCAGTTGGGGTCGATGAAGATGTTGATGCGGGAGCTGTCGGCTTTCTCGATGGTCACCAGCGCGTTGGCTTCCTCGGGGTTGGTGCTGATGACGGGGGGCGACTCGGTGACGGGCGTGTGGTAGTGGTTCATGAAGAGGATGGCCCCCGTGACTGTCACCGCCAGGAGGACGGCCACCGAGAGCAGCACGGTGCACAGGATGTACCCGCAGCTCATCCTCTGCGGGCAGAGACACAGAAACACCATCAGCACCCTCTGGCAGCCCCATCCCGCTCCCTTTCCTCCCAGAGGTAGGCTCAGACCCGCACGGGCTTTGTGACATTGGCCATGGGGGAGGGTGGGGACCCCAGGGAGCCCTGAGGCTCTGCCAGGGACGTGGAGGCCACGGGCGAACACGGAGTGAGCAGAGCAGCTAAACCCGCCTGGGAGCGGGCTATGAAATAATAACGAGAGCCAAGGCACGGCAGGCGCTGGCTCCTGCTGCATGTTTTATTTACGGCAGTGATCCTCGGCTGGAGCAGCCCTGGCTCCCCTGGAGAGGCTTGTGGGGCTCCCTGCTGCTCTGGGCACAAATATGGGGAGAAAAAGGGAAAACTCATCGTGTCCCTCACAGCAGGGACCACAGGGAGAGCAACAAGGGCAGCTGTGGGTCAGTGCTGGGGTCACGTTGCCCTGAGCATCGTGGGGACCTGCTCTGCATAGGGCATCTCCCAGCTATGGCAGGCAACAGATCTCCATCCCCATGTCACTCATTTCCTGCTGGAGTGGGGCAGGGCTGCTCCCAAAGCCTTTGGATCAGTCCCAGAGCCTCCTGGCAAGGGAGAGTTGCTGTGGGAATGGTCTCTGATCCCTCCAGCCCCTCTGGCAGCTCTGCTGCAGGCCAGACCCATGGGCTCAGACCGTGGGACCTGCTCCATGCACACCAAGAACCTTTTCTCCCTGCAAAGCCTGAAGTGCCAGCACAGGCAGTGCAGAGCGAGTGAGCTGCCACCCGATCCCATCAACTCCTGGTTCTCCTCCACCTCCCCTCCTCGTTACACCTGCAGGACAGAGGCTGTGATTTTCCCCTGACCCTGGCCACGGCTGTCACAAGGAATTGCAGGGCTGGCAGCAAACTGCAGATTCAGAGAGACAAAGACTACTTTCCCCAGAAACGAGGGGAAAATTGCTGCATCTGCAAAGATTTCCCAGGCCCTGTCCCCTCCCGTGCACATCTATCTGGAGTGACACCTTCCTTCAAGCACCCTTCATTTCATTCCCGCTCACGCAACCATTTGCATTAAGGTGACCCCAGCTGCAGCAGGGCTGGCTGGGGGGCCAAGGATGCCCCACCAGCCCCAGGGCATGCTCTGGGTTTCTCTCCCTCTCCATGGAGTGAGGCTGCAGATGCAAACAGCGCTGGACTGAATGGGAAGCCACCTGCAGGGACCTCTGTGAGGAGACAGCCCCAGGCTCAGCCCCTCGGCGCACGTTAAAAGGAGATGTCAAAGGCAATGAGGGAAACTCTGGGCAAGCAGGGGGCTGAGGAGTTGGCCTGGTGTGTGTAGACACAGAGCCCTAGCTTGGGGGTGCAGGGGACACCCAGGAGCAGCAGGTTGGTGGCAGACAGAGGTGGCAGATGCCCATTACTCAGACCTTTATGTGGACACCCAGGACCTGGGCTCAGCTGGGCCCCTCAGCACCCTGCAAGCAAGGAAAGGACAGGAGAGGTGGCTGCTGACCAAAGGCCAATGTCAGGTGGTTTGGGAACTACAGTGAGCAGGGACCCTGTTCCTGTGGCTTCCTGGCTGTGACAGCACCCTCATCTCCAGGAATTTGTGCCCTCCCATCCTGCTGCTGCTGCCCACAATGCTGATATGCCCAGCTCGAGGGGCACATGGAGGAGCTGCAAAGGCCAAGGATCCCCTCTGAGCAGTAAGAGCTCCCACAACAGTGCCATGAATGGATGATGCTCTGCTTCCCACGGCCACACAAACCCCAACTGGGCTGTAGCACACCAGAGTCCTGCACTTCTGCCTGGCTGTACCACCACACCAGGAGCTGTATCCAGCTGTTTTCCAGCCTTCAAGCCCCAGAATCACTGCCCTCCCATCAGCAACAGGAATTGGGGGCCAATCCCCTTCCAAAATGATCCCCTCTGCTTGCGACTGCAAGATCCTGAGTGGCGGCAGCTTCATGAGTCCCACGGCATTTTGCTGGCAGGTTGTGTTACCTGGCAACCTGCAGTGGGGAGAGGAGGGAAACTCAGCCAGTGGCACCAACAGCACTCCAAACTGGGGTGGGGGTCCCCCCAAGCCCCTCCAGCAAAGCAACACTGCAGCAGCATGCCCAGGTGCTGGCATGGGACCCTGCAGATGCCCCCAGCCACGCACTCCTGCCTCAACGTAACCACAGCTCTCATGATCCCTAGGGTTCCTGCTGCCTGTTCCATGGCCTCAGGCTGCTGGAATGCTTGCCAAGGCTCTTGGACAACTGTAGGACATTCCCCTGCCCTGGGGGCAGTTATTGGTGTTCCCCGAGGGACATCCATTGGGCTGGAGGTCCAGTGGCTTCAAATCACCCCTTCCTAAGGAGAGCAGAAGCTGTGAGACTGAGTGGTGCTTTGGATGAGTAGATCTTCACTTGCAAACCTGCTCTGGAGCCTGGGAGGGAGCCCGAGGCAGGATCCAAGGGATGGTTGTGTCCCTGGTGCAAAGCTGAGTCGGGCTCTCCATGCCCTGCACTGGCACAGGCAGTGGGTCTAATCTTGGTCACCCACGGGGGCAGGTGACCCGGCCACAATTCATGAGCAGCTCTGGACCCCATCAGACCCCTCAAAACAGCCCCCAGCCCGCTCAGCCAGCCAGACTGGCTGTGCTGGGGATGGAGACAAGCAGCTCCAGCGCTTGCAGAGTGTGGGAAGGGAAGGACACGAGCCGGCTCGTCCCCAGGGGCAGCCAGAAGTGGCCGGTCCCTGGAGAGCATGAATGGACAGTGGTGGCAGGAGAAGCTGAGCTCTGCCCTGGGAGATGCTCCAAGATGAGGAGGTCCCCTTTGCTCCTGCCAAAATCCCTGCTCCTCTCCAGCTCACCAGACAGCGCTGCTGTGGGATGGCAGGCAGCGATCCTGCAGCCTGGCTGCTCTGCCCCTGGGCTGTGCCTTCAGCCGGGTACGAACTAAAATCTCTGTTCTGCTTCCAAGGCAAGTGGACACTGTGGTTAGCATCGCCCAGGCTCAGCTGCCAGTGCAAACTTTAGTCCAGGAACCCCCACCTTCCTGCCGGGGTTCACCCAGCGCTGAACGTGCCCCAGGGCAGCGAGGGTCAGTCCCCAACCCCAAACCTATCGCTCATTCAGAGCCGCCTGGGCAGCTCAGTTTGCATCCTTGCTCTGGTTCTCTGCTCCATCCCTCTCCATCCCGCCCTGCTGCTCCTCCTGGCTCAGGGCTGCATTCCCCGTCCCCTGGCCCCGGGCCGGGGCTGTGTCCCAGCCGCTCCCGGAGCCCAGCGCCGGCTCCCCGCGGGCACGGAGCAGCTGAACTGATCCCTCTCCCGTTTTCCTGCTTTCCCCTGTCACCCAGAGCCTGCCTGCGACCGCTCCTACGGCACGCCACACTCTGCGGATCGGGAAGAGCAGAGGAGAGAGGACGGGAAGGATGGGATTGCACCGGAGCCGGCTGTGGGTGAGCACGCAGGCGGGCTGGGATGGGATTCCACCGGAGCTTGCGGGAGCTGGGATCGCAGCACCGGCTGCACGGCAAACTCCGTGCATCCTTTGGAACCCACCGTGAACCATCCAGCTCCGCGCTGAGTTATCCAGCCCCGCACGGGTCGTGGGGCTGGATCCATCCTGCCCGGCTCGCCCTGGGGACCATGGGGGCACAAAAGCGGGGGGATGTCAGCTCCAAACGGATGGCACAGCTCGAATCCCTGCGCGCAGGCGGTGCGCACAGAGAGGGAGCTCTGCCAGGGAAGGGAGGGCAGGCTGGTTTCTGTCTCGGGGGTCAGGGGTCTCCCGGGGTGCGCAGCCCCCCTCCAGCCAGGCGCAGAAGCTGCTCGGCATGGAGGGACTGACGGGGAGAAGGGTGAGCAGGAAGGAAAAGTCGGGCAGAAACCCCTCTCTTGCCTTGCTGCGGGTGTCAGGGGACAGGGAAGTGGGGGACCTGGGGTCGAGCGTGTCTCACGGCTGCTCCCCCCATCCCTGCCCAGCTCCTGGGTGCCGAGGAAGGGCAGCACTGCCAGCTCTTGGCTCCTTCCCTTCACTCACAGGCTCGCTGGAGATTTACTGTCCTCCAGCTCTTCCCAGACACGTTTGCCCATAACTCCGCACTCCTTCTTCCCACCCTGCCTGCACTCAGCGTGCATCCATGCCTGTGCCTATCCCTAGAAGTGTCCAAGAGCCAGGCTGGACGGGAATTTGAGCAACCTGGTCTAGTGGAAGGTGCCCCTACCCGTGGCAGGGGGTTGGAACTGGGTAATCTTTAATGTCCCTTCCAAGCCGATCCATCCTGGGTTTCTCGGGCTCCCTACCTGCTCGGCCGTGCTCGGTGGCTGGCGGCCGGCCACGCCGGGCTGGCGGAGCTGGCACACGTGCAGCGGGATGTGCAAACAGGCTCCGGCACGTGCCGGATCCCCGCGTGTCACCGCAGGCTCTGCCGCCGCTCCACCGCACCCCGCCGCAACGCCGGCCTCCCCCCAAAAACCAGCCGGGCTCCCGCAGGTTCACAGCGGGTAGAGCGGCCGGGAGCACCCGAACCGGGAGGGATGACTCCGGCTGCAGCGCGGAGCTGAGATGCCAAATCCCCTTTAAAAGGTTATTTAAGCAGTTTAGAGCGCGTAGCGGTTCAGCAGAGGAGTGTGGCAGCCCCGGAGCATCGCCCGCTGCCCGGCCGGGGCAGCCCCGGGGCTGGGTGGGAATCCTGGCTGCAGGATAATAAACACATTGATTTTGGGGGGGTGAGGGGGTGCAGCCCGCGGGGCTTCGCGCGGAGGGGACGGAGGAGCAGCTCGCCACGCTGGGGTACGCCCGGAGAAAAGCTCGCTGGGGACACTGGGGGTTCGCTGGGACCCCCGGGCTGGCTGACCCCCCCGCCGCCCCCCGCCGCCCCCCGCCCCGTACCTGTGATTTCTCCTGCTGCCCATCCTCAAGTTGCGAGGCTCCTCCCACGGTTTTCCAACGCTCGTTCCCCATCGCGCCTCCAACTTCCAGCCCAAGTAAGTGCCCGGACCCCCCCAAACCCCCCCAAACCTCCTCCCCGGCGGCGCAGCCCCCGGCCCGCCCGCGCTGCCCGGCTGGCCGCGGCGGAGGACGGGCGGCGGCGGCGGCGGCGGCGGAGGAGGAGGAGGAGGAGGAGGGAGGGAGGAAGAGGAGGGAGGGAGGACACGGGCACGGACACGGGGGTGGATCTTCCCTCCCCCCCCCCCCATCCCCCCCGGGGCTCCCCCGGCCCCGCTCCGGGCACCCCGCCCGGTGATGCCCTGGGGGATCTCCCCGCCCCCCCCAGCACCGCCCGCAGCCCCCCGGCCGCCCCAATCATTCCGGACCCGGACTCGAACCCCCTCCTCCAGCCCCGGGCTCCGCAGCTGCCCAGATGTGGCAGCACAGCTGGAGGAGCGGCAGCAGGTAAGGCGGGGGCTGGTACCAGCGGGATCGGGGGTGCTGCAGGGGACCGGCGGGGAGAGCGGAGGATGCCCCCGGAACCCGCTCATCCCCTTCCCGAAGATACGCCCCTACATCCTCCAGAGCGACACCCCAAGCTGGTGGGGCTCAGTCCCATCGGTGGGCAGGGATGGGCAGGGTGCTGGGCGGGGGGGCGGAGGGGGTGGCATTGGCATCGCCACCCCCCAAAACCTTTGTGCCTAAGGGTAGCCAAAGTGCTGGGAGGTTCTCTGAGCAAATCCCAGCGCACTGTGGGAAGCTGGTGCTGGCGGGGCGAGGCAGCAGCCGCCCCCACCCCCTCCAGGGTCACAGAGATGCCCAAACCCCAGCGTTCCCAGCCCAAAGCCGTGGTGCTGGCCCTGCGTGCCAGGGCTCCCTCCCGGCCTGTTGTGCCGCCGCTCCCGTGTCGATGTGGTTTTCCTTCCCATAGCTTTGCCGCACCTCCCGTAAATCTTTTATTTGCCACTTGTCTGACCTGCGGGCAGGAGCGTTGCTGAGAGGTTCAGAGGAGCTCAGCGCTGCTTCAATCCGGCTGGGGGGAGGCTGAGTTCTCTCTCCAGGCTGAGAATCCCCTGCAAAACCTCCTGGGCAGCCCTTAAGCCCCCTGTCCTGCAGCATGAGGCTGTCCCCTGGGCAGGCGGCATGGGGGTTCCTCCAAACCCCCCTGGGTCTCTCTCCCTGGAGCTCAGCCCCAGTCGGGACCTTCCAGCAGCTCCCAGGTGGCTTCACTGGGGTGGGGGCTGCCTCCCTGTGGGGCAAGTGTGGCACAGGGGTGGCAGGTTGTACGTGTGGGGGACTAGGGGTTCGAGCAGCTTCTCTCCAGGGCACACATCCTATTTCGGGAAGAGCTGTGTGCGTGCTGGGCTGGCAAATATTCCCAAAGAGCTCTCTGGGGCGGGGAGGGGAGCACAGGCGTTGCCTCAAGCCGGGGGCACCCGTGTGTGTGGTGTGTGTGTGTGTGTGTGTGTGGGGTGTGTACATTGTCTCCCGGCCAGGGGCAAATCCTGCCTTTGGCTGCAGAGATGTTTTGTGTGGATTTACCGGGCGATGCTCGTGGCTGGCAGCCCAGCTCCTTCCCCACGGACGGTTTTCAAGGACTTCCCTTTCCAGCAGAGACCGGCCAGCTCGTGCCACTGGTGCTCGGTGTGCCCGCACCAGCCGGGCTCGGCTCCCCGCTCCACTCGCCCGTGCTGGAAGCAGGAGGCGCTGGCCCCCGGGAAGCTGTTTAAGCTGAACTCCAAACAATAAAAACTTATCATTAAAAAGAAATGCATCTTGGCTTCATGTGGCCTGGCAGCGCGGGGAGGAGTGATTCAGTGGCTTGTCAGCCCTGGGCGTTAGGCACGCCGAGCTGCACAACTGGACACTCTCCAAGTCCAGCAACTCATTTTCTGCAGATGGAGCCGGGACCGTGCAGCGAGCTGACGCTTAATTTGCAATGCAACATACCTTGACATAACCCACAGCCGAATCGCGGAGGTGGTGCAGGATGGGATGCTTGGGAGCCTGCTGGCCGGGCTGTGCCAGCAGGGCTGGTGCCTCGCAGCCCTGCCATGTGTGGGGTGTCCCCACGGACCCTGACACAGGGTCCAGGTGTAGGGTCCGGCTCGTCCCGGTCCCAGCGCTGCTCGCAGCTGCTGATCTTCAAGCAATGCGGTGAGGGGGATGGAGGTTGCCTCCCTGCAGAAGGGTTAGTGTTTTTGGGAGCTTGAGTGATGCTCAGGGCGAGCCCTCCCCTGCCAGGGGCCAGCAGGGACACTGGTCTGGCTCATCAGTGACTTACCCTGAGCCGTGTCACCTCCTGTTACCTGTCACAGAGTCCGGCTGTAGCTGTGGAAATGGGGACATGGGTAGGGGCGTCCATAGCCAGCTGAGACCCACGGCCCCACAGTCCTGAACCCGGTCCAGAGGCTGTGCCGGGAGGGATTGGGTGCTCAGGGTGCTCCTTGTCTTGGGCACCGATGGGCACGGACCCTCCCCCGGGGCTGACAGGGGAGGGGGTGAGGAGGGGTTCTGCCAGCAGCCCAGCCTGGATCGATAGGCATCGGAGAGGATGATTCATGTCTCACGCTGTGGCCCGAGGGCAAAAACGGGGAGAGGTTTGATGTGAGGATGCCGAGAGGCTGCGGGTCCTGCTGGGAGTTGCGGCTCCTGGCAGCCTTTCCCCTCCCGAAGCCCGCACTGCCCCGGGGTCCCGGCTTGGCCTGCGGGAAGAAAACGACTGAAGCAACGCAGGATAAGACCCAAGCTCTAAACCGAGTCTTTTAAAGACATTTCAGACACTATCTTCTACCTTTTGCTCCAAGACAGTGGGTAGAGTTGCAGTGGGGGTGTCGGGCAGAGGCTGGACTGGGGTCAGCTCTGTGACCGCCGTGGGGACAGGACACTACAGACAGTGGGACGCCACAAGACAGGACTCGGAGGCACTTTACCCTCCTTGGTGTGCATCCCCAGCGTGCCAGGGGCCAGAGCTGGTGAAAGCCCCGATGCTCCGTGTAGGACAGAAGAACTGTCCGAGCCACGCCGCCGGGGCTGGGGAAAGGCTGGGGGGGGACACCGAGCCCTCCCCTAGGAACAGCCTGTGCTTTCCTTGGCAGGGAGCCACGGGAGGCAGAGCCGCCGCTGCACACGCGCGGCGTCAGACATCATCACCATATTAATAATGAAAGGGCAGCTCCTTCAAAGCTCTCCGTCCCCGCGCCGGCGAGAGCGCAGAATGCAGAGGAGGTGCGTGAGCCTCATCCCAAGCAGCCGTGGGGAGAGCGCTGCGGTGCCCGGATGGTCCTTGCTGGTCCTTCACCAGGCCACTGACCTGCAGTGACAAAAGCCCTCTCCGGTCCCCGCTGGGTGCTCTCCCCACTGGGAGTTTGGTGCTCTGGGGGGTCCTGCATAGGAGCAGGGTGTCCCCAGCTCCTGTTCCCAGCACTCCAGGCTGCCCTGTCCCCCTCGCTCAGCAGGAAAGGTCGTTTTGGCTGCCAGGGAAGGAGCTTCTCTCCCAAGGGCTGAGTGCTCTGCCCATCGCTGAGTGACACGGCAGGACACTGCTCGCTGTGCCAGGGCCTCTTTCTTCCACGGGAGGAATCGATGGCTCAGACAATGAGACAAACCACCCACAAAGAGGTCTTGGGCTGCAGCCCTCATGGGGTCAGTGGCATCACTTCTGCTCCTCTCCCTGCAAGATATTTGGGCTTCCAAAAACTCTCCTTTAACATCCCTATTTTGCCTAGAGCATCCCCAAGTCTGGTTGTACTTTGTGAGGGTCTCAGCAGGACCAGACCAGGAGCTGAGCATCTTTTCTCCTCTCTCCCCTCTGCCAAACCCTCTCCTCCACTTTTGCCCCTCTTGGGGGTCCAGAGCTGGGAGGGATTTGCTGCAGATGCCATGGTCTGGGGAGGAAAGAGCAGAACCCTCTGTGCCAGGTGGAGATGGAGCACCCCACATCCACCCTGCACCTCTCCCATCCCCACCCCATGCCCACACGCTCTCCCTGGCACCCCGAGTGTTTCAGAGGGTCCCATCCTGCAGCAGTGTCCCAGAAGGGTGGGTGCTGCTCTGTCCCCCTCCAGCTCTTCCTTCCCAACCCTTTCCCGAGCTTTTTTTTCCCTCCTCCCTCCAAACGCAACAAAAGCCCCAAATCCCCTGCAAATGAGAAACCTCTTTTTGTTCCTCTTTTCCCTTTGCTTTCTGCCACGGCGGAGTATTGATTGGAGCTGATGTGCTGTAATCCGCTGTTTCTGTGAAAAGTTGGCATCTCAGAATCCCTGGGGGGGGCGGATCCTGCCCTGTGTGAGTCTTGCTCCTCCGCCAGGATTGTGGATAGCAGGAAAGCTGCATCCATCCCATCCCATCCCATCCCATCCCATCCCATCCCATCCCATCCCATCCCATCCCATCCCATCCCATCCCATCCATCTCTGCAAATCCAGGGGCTGTACACTCGGTGACAGGGTCATCACGAGCAGCTGATGGGTGGGAAAAGGCTCTGGTTTGGAGCAGAGCCAGGTCAGATCCCACTGGGATGGGTATCCAGAGTTCTGGGCTTCTGAAGGAGCCCTCCTGCCCTTTTGGCAGGGCAGGGGATGGTGGCAGGGAGGTGCTGGTGAGAGGGGCTGGTTGGGGGGGTTGGCAGGGATCTCTAGAAAGGAACAAATCAGTTTCCCCACAGCCAAGGAGGGCTGTGGAGAGATAGGGCTGCCCCCAGCCTGAGAGGGGCTCACTGTGGGTCTGAGCCCTGACTGAAGACCCCCCTGTGCCCACCCACCCAACTCCACCGTGCTGCCACTCCATCTACACTTAATGATGGCAAATGGGCCGGAGAGCTGGAAAGTGAGGGGAAAGAAACCCAGCCAAAAATCGCCAAAAAACACAGGGAAGATTTTAATTTAAAACCTTTTCCCACATGGAGAGCAGCAGCCTGGGCCATCTGGAGGAGCATATGCAGGTGAGGGGGGGGCAGTGGTGCCTCCTCCAGCTCCCTCACTCCCAGCAGCCTCCAGAAAGGGCTTTGGAGTGGTGAAAACGAACCCTGGGGG